GGGCTTGCGGCAACCACATGTGACGACCCCGGGCTGGACTCCTCCACGGTGAAAGCCGATCCGGTGATCCACAGCGCAAAGTTGTTGTATTTCCTCAGCAACCAGCACGGATCAGCTCCAGGCATGACGAAGCAGATATCGTCCTGATCGTCCACGACGTGGCAGCGGCGGCAACAACAATACTACAGCGAGAATAAAAGTTATGCCTTCTTTCTTTGCGTGAACATTTGGGCGGCGTTATGCAAATCTTCCCACATAGTGATGTAGGTATGTGGGGGCGTGTTAGAACGAGCTGTTTTAGGCAGGCGTGGCTGACTCTTAACTTTTATAAAGAATATCTCTTTGGATTTGAGACTTTAGTCTTTGCAATTTTACAGATCTTCTTTATGCACCAAGAGCTTGTAACACTCCAAAGAGAAAGGAAAAATTGAAATCGCATCATATGACCCCTTTAATGTCAGCACCTGGGTGTTTCATGTCAGAGAGTCAGATAGTATGAGAACTGGTGTGTGTTTTAAAATCCCCCAGTCCAAAACAGCTAAGCTGTCTGTCAATAGAACTGCTGTGAAGGCAAAATGCTCAACTTCCTTGTCAGGACACAGATGTACATGTGTGTACCACCTCAAATCTAAGACCCCCATCTGAGAGAGACTGCTTGTTGAACACTTCTGGAAGCAAACTCTGAGAAACAAGGGAATAGTTCAAAAATAGAAATACAAACAGGAATACAGGATTTCTGTGGTTCTTGCCATTGCTAAAGAGCTATTTTAAGTTTTGAACATATAGAAAAAAAGGCCACATTTAAATGACATTTCAATTCTGATGTTTTTACTTTGTTTGGGTATGTGTGCACAGATTACCGTGGCAACTTTCAGAGCTGCTTCCATTTTGGCGACGGCTACAGAATGGACCAGTCCATCAGTGGTGGCCATCAACCTGCAGAGTCCCACAGCTTCAACACAAACCCACACAACGGTTTCCACATGAGCTGTTCCACCAGCACCCCTTCCACAGGTACACAAATGCCCTCTTAAACTGCAGTCACATTAGTGAGATTTTGGTGAACTTGGGCAGAGCCGATCCTCCCTATACGCAAAATACACAAGCTGCGTAGGGCCCCGAAACACCAGGGGGCCCCCTTGCTCTCAAAGATTTAATTTAGTTTTTGAATTTGGCCGGCAGTTATGAAAACATGAATGATCATTTATTTTAATGCGGTGCGCTGTCACCCTTTCTACGTAAAAATCAGTCAATTCATGTAATGTGAATGTCATACAGTCTTGCTCGAGACTTAAAAAACGAGTTGAAAGCGTACTGAGCTGCGGAAGAGACACTGTTTCTCAAGTATTAGTGCTCTGTATTTATCCTGTATGTGAACACACACCCGGAGCAGTGGGCAGCCATTTTACACTGCGGCGCCCGGGGAGCAGTTGGGGGTTCGGTGCCTTGCTCAAGGGCACCTCAGTCGTGGTATTGAAGGTGAAGGAGAGGGCTGTACATTCACTCCCCCCACCTACAATCCCTGTCGGTACGAGACTCGAACCTGCAACCTTTGGGTTACGAGTCCGACTCTCTAAACATTAGGCCACGACTTCCTAATGTATTGGCACTGAAAAAAAAAACTAAAAAAAAATCACTTAAATAATGTCTACAGTGTCTATTATGTTTTAAAAATAAAATTAAATAATGAATCAGCGGCAGAACAAATAATTAAGCTGACTTCACAAAGCTTTGTTTCAACTTTTGCCCTGATGGGAAATTGTGAGATTTAAAAGCAGAACAACGGTAAATGTGACTACACCTTTACCTACACAAATCCATTTATTATGAATTAATCTCACACTAAAATTAAGTACAACTGATATTGTCAGTTGTCATTTTGGGGCACTGTAGCTTTAGGATAGGACAACATCACCAGTAATAAGCAACATGGTTAGAAACAGGTCAACTGATCTGGCTGATAGTCGTCTTGTCAATTTTTTCTTTCCCATATTACCGATCAGTTTGTCTCCAGTTTCACTGCCCTAGTGTAAGTGTATTTCAAATCTGCAAAAATTGGGTAGTACCCTCAAAGAGACAACTAACTTATCTACCCAACAAGGGGGTACATTAGTAGTATAATTATATGATCCTTTTTTCCATAATGCAAAGGTTTCAGCTTGGTGTCGGACATCATAGGATCAGGTTGCCAGTTCTCACCGGGCACAGAGGAGAGTGTTTTCTTTCAGGTGGGTGGCTTCGATCGCAGCTTGAGCCAGATGTCATCAGTGTACACAGAGACATAGGACCAGCTTACCTTGTCGGCCATCAACACAATTGTCTTCTTTCAGACCAAACACTTTTTAAAATTATTTTCTTTCGTCTATGCAGTTTCAACCTGTCAAGAGTTTACAGTTTTTCTCAAAATTCACTTTTTTTTAATTTCCCTAAAATGCATGGTTGGATCACTTCATTGGACTGAAATATCTGCTTCCTTTACTAGCCGAAAAGCTGCTATTCCATGACAACGAAGGTTAAATAATGAGGGGTTTGTGTTGTGGAGTGTTTATTTGTGGGATGTTATGAAATTGCGGTTTTTTTCACAGTATTTTGAACGATATGTTCAAAGTCTCATGAGATACTCCCTTGTCGTCATCACGGCATCACTAGTCTTAATAAATCCAGCTGGTCAGCACAGATCCAATTGTGACTTTGGAACGGTTTAATAGAAACTTCAGAACCACCACAGCTCATCAGTGATTAGTTCCACATTTCCTTCTCAGAGCTCTTTTTCTGATTTGTTGGCTGTTGTGTTGGATACAATTATTTAGTGTTGCTGTGTTTTGTCAGTGAATGTTTGCAAATGTTTGTATTGCTTTGTCATTTGGTTGTCATCATCCCAGATAAACAGAGTTCTTTATTTTGTAATGGTTGATGGCTTTAATATCTACCACACTTTCAACGTATGTATAAAATGTACAGTTTGTTTAATTTGAATAATTATGTCAATCTCTGAATCTCTGAAAATAAATGAGTCTTGAATATTGCAGTCTATTGCTCATCATTGTGCATTTTAGATGTGGTAGTTATGTTGACTGTTTAACTAAATAAATATGGTTACTCAGACTCAAATATCATTAAATTCTGTTTAAACACTATGAAATATACTGGGGAATCAAATTGCAAGACATTTTGCAAATAATTTGTATGTGTTCACTTTACTTTTTTAAAGTTTATTCAAACTAATCTCAGCCATATAATTTACTGAGCAGGAACGCTCCAGTTACTAATGTAACCTTGGTTCCCTGAGACAAGAGAACAAGCATTGCGTCACTGACGCTTATGGGGAAACTCCTGTTTACTCTGATTCTGAAGCCTGACTTGTTCACTTTCGTGTAACTGCACAAATCAATGGCACTTCAACCCACCAAAAGATAAGGGAGCGCGATTTCGTCAGAATCTTTTGACTGAAGTGACAGTCATCGATTCGCGTGAAGCCTTATAGCGCAGCAGTGTATGCAACACTCGCTCCCTTATCTCAGGGAACACATCCAATAGTGCCATGCTATAAGCAAGTGCAGAATGAAGACGCTTTGTGAGCCCAGCCCCAGAGCACCTGTACTGAGGGCTCCTGTAAGCATGAGCCAATAATGAGACCCAAGGCGCTTAGGCTGAGGACTGCATAACATAACCCTCTCCACTTACAAAGGGGATTAGGTAGAATTAAGTGGACAAGATCCGTGCCTGCAAGGCAGGGACGTTCAAGTAATAAAATCTAGTGAAGGTAGACGGTGATGACCAGTCGGTGGCCACACAAATATCACCAATAGAAATCCCGCTGGACCAAGGCCAGGAGGAGGCCATTCCTCTGGTGGAGTGGGCCCTCACACCTATAGGACACTGCAAGCCTGCTGAGGCGTAAGCCAGGGCTATAGCATCGACTATCCAGTGAGATACTTCGTAACCGGCAGCCCTTTAAAACGGCCTCCGAAGCATACAAAGAGCTGCTCTGAGTGCCTAAACAGGCCAGAGCATTCAACATACACTTTAAGAGCTCGAGCCGGGCAGAGTGGATTAGGACCCTGCTCACCTTCTGAATTGGGGAGAGCTAGGTGGGTGATGACTTGTGCTCTGAATGGAGTGGAAAGCACTTTTAGTACATAGCCGTGTCTTGGGACAGGAAGACAGGAAGCACTGACTGACAGTGCTTGCAGGTCACCCACTCGCTTACTACACTCGATGCTAAAGCCAGAAGGAGGGCACTCTTAAGCGACAGGGGCTGCAAGTCAGCCGACTGGAGCGGCTCAAAGGGAGGACCTCGCAGGGCCCTGAGAACTATAGATAAGTCCTAAGTGGGCACAGTATGAGGGCGAGGCAGATTCAATCTCCAATTCAAACACGTCACATGATGATGAGTCCTGGTTCCGTGCTGCACACTAGTCAGAAAAGACTGATCATTTAAGGTTGTAAAGACGTCTTGTAGACTGAACTCTAGCCTCTAAAATGGTATTAGTTACACTCAAGGGGAGCTGCAAAGGCTCCTGTCGAGGGGCCAAACATGAAGGCTCCACAGCTCTGGCTAGGGATGCCAAATCATGCCCTTCGCTTGCAATAGCCCTTCCTCAGTGGTATCAGCCAAGGGGCTGCTGATGGCAGCTGGATCAACTCGGGGAACTACATATGATTCCTCCAGAGTGGGGCCACCAAGAGGACTGAGCATCTGACTTCCCTGGCCCGCCTGATGACCTGAGAAAGCAGGGCAACTGGGGGGGGGGAGGCATACAGGCGAGCGCTGGGTCAATCGTGGGCCAGGGCATCTCACTGCCTCGAAAATAAATTGGGCAGTGTAAGTTGTCTTCTGAGGCAAAGAGGTCCATCTCTGCCCTGCCGAAGACAGACCAGATCATTTGAACTGTTTGGGGATGTAGCCTCAATACTCCTGGGGCCACATTGTCCCTGGACAGCATGTCTGCCCCTTGGTTCAGTCTGCCCAGCACATGAACTGCTCTCAGTGAGAGGAGTTTGCCTTGTGCCCATAAAAGGAGGCATCGAGTGACTGAAGACTGCCTTGGTGATTGATAAAGTCTACCACAGTCATGTTGTCCTAACGGACCGGGATGTTGCAAGGAGTTTTTCCAAAGGGGCCACAGCTCTGAGGCAGCGGTGGGTTATGCTGAGATGAAAACATGTCCCAGGCACCAAGCGTGAGATGGGACATGGGCTTTGAGCCAATACTGAAGATGTGAAACAGGCCCAGAGGAGTCACAGATGAAGCGACCAATATGAGGTCATCATCCTCTGGAAAACCCTGAGGGGACGTGAAGTCCCCAGTTTGAAAGATGCCACATGCCTCTGAATAGTCAGGGAGCGTTCTGGAGTAATCCATTCCCGGATCCGGACAGAATCGATAACTGTCCCCAGAAAGACCACTCGCTGGCTGGGAGACAAAGAGCTATTGGCTAAATTGATTCTCAACCCAAGCCGCTCCAGGTGGCTGAGCTGCAGCGACCTGTATGCGATGAGTTCCCGTTCTGATCTGGCTAAGACCAGCCAATCGTCAAGGTAATTCGGAATGTGGATTCTCATCTGTCTCAGTGTGGAAAGAGCTGCGTCTATGCACTTTGTAAAAGTGCATGGGGTCAGACACTGTCCGAATGGTAGGACTATATACTGATAGGCCACTCCCTCGAATATGAAACCTAAGAACGGTCCTGTGATGGGGGGTTATCTGGATTTAAAAGTAAGCGTCTTTCAGATCCACTGATAGAAACCAGTCCTCAGGGCATATTTTCACAAGGATGTTTCAAAGAAAACATCTTGAATGACTGTCTCATTAGGGAGCAGTTCAGATGCCTGAGATCGAGAATGATTCTGAGCCCGCCATCTTTCTTGGGAACAAGGAAGTAATGGCTGTAAAAGCCCTACTCGCTGTTTGCTAGAGGAGTCATTTTCATGTTTTGCAAGTAGTGTTTGAACTTCGGACTGGAGAACTTGTGCATCGTTGTCCCGTACTGAAATTTGAATGATACCTCTGAAGTGAGTCGGCCTGCGAGCGAACTGAAGCAAGTAGCCTCATTCTATGGTTTTTAGAACCCAACTTGACGCATCCAAGATAGCTTTCCAAGCCGGATGGCAAGTGGTTTTAGTTTGTCAGCATACCTGATCTCTGTCAGATTTAGCCAAAGGTGGTGCTGCCTTGCCGATCACTTGCGCAGTGGTCTTAGTAGTGTGCAGAGCCAAGTCAGTCGCTGTAGGCAGCTTGGTTTGGCCTGGAATACTTGGAGCACCACCATCGTGTGAAGTGCTGTGCCAGCCTGGCCAGCCGCTGAATAAGCCCTGTTTGCAAGGGCTGAGGTAGTCCTGCAGGGCTTAGATGGGTGCGCAACATGGGCTTTCATCCCCAGGGCCAATGGAGGGAGGGCATCGATGCTCAGTGACCACCTCTTCCAGAGGGGGGAGCTTGTTATAACCTTGTTCTTCAACACCGTTAACAGTGGTGAGAGCAGTAGAAGTAGACGGATTAACATGGGCAGAGTAGGGGGCGCACCATGTCCTGGTGAGTTCCTCGTAAACTGCGGGCAGGAACAGGGCGGGCCGTTGGCGGGAGGAATGTTGACGGCATCCCTTCAGGTACCACTCACCAGGGCGGGTGCCGGTGTTTGAGCCCCGCTGCTTCGCTGTTTCTTCCTCCTAGGGGAGAGAGGAAACGGGAGAGCAGAGCAGGGAGGATAGCTTTCATTAAAGAAGGGGATCCGCGAGCGGAGAAGGGCGAGACTCATGCTCTCTCAGTGAGAGCATTCTGTCTGCGTGGGCGCTGCCCAGACAAGGTTCCCTGCACGAGCCACACTCACGGCGCAACATTTGAAACGTCGCTGGAAATTTGCTCTAAAATGCGGGGAAGGTACATGAATGTTAACAAATCAGGCTTCAGAATCAGAGTAAACAGGGGTTTCCCCATAAGCATCTGTGATGCAACAGGAAAGACTGTTCGAAAGGGAACTTCAATTTAATACACTTTTGTAGACCATTGTTGGGGGAGTCTGCCAACTTTTGGAGAGGATGAGGATCATTCATCTCAGAAAATCTGTCATAACATATACTTAAAGGGAAGGTTAACCCAAAAATGAAGAACTCTCATTTTTAGGTGAAGTTTCAAATAATTAAATATCACAAACGAGAACAAAAAATACAACAATCTAAAAGTAGATTTTGTTTCATGTAATCAGAGCTCTACACTCAGAAGCACTTATTTAAGACTTACATTTTTATGTAAGTTTTAGTTTTATACAATCAGGCATGGGGACAAATGTCATATTTCACACAATAATTTTTTTAAACATGGAATCTGAAAGATTCACATTCAAAACTCAATAATTTATTGTCATCGTGTATGTACAAGATTCATTTTTTTATGGTTAAATTTGGACTCTCAAAAGGTGAGCTAAAGTGACGTGACCGAAATAAATAGTTATTAATAGTAAATAGTAACATGAAGGTGCAGTTAATGCGGGATACAGAAGTGATCATACTTAGGTGAGTGGAAGTGCATTACATTTTATATTGTGCAAAATGCAAAATTAGTTACTTCCTAATCACCTAAAAACTAATTTTGTAAGCCGTTAGGAAGTAACTAGATGTCAGAAATCATTCACGCTGATAACCCAAATAATTGTTCACATTCATACAATCATTTTCACCCGTAAATGCTCACACTGTAGAGCTCTGGTTATATTGCTTGAGTCTATTTGCCTTTCTTGGCTCTGATCTTCCGGAGGTAGAACTCCAGCTCTTTCCCTTCCAAGATGTATCCGTCAGCTCTGCCACACTGGCCGGGCCTGGACACAATACAGGCTGAGACAGTAGAACAGTAAAAAACATACTTGGACAGAAGCACTGTAACTCTTTGACTAATTAAACAAAGGTTTGTCTTTGATACCAGTCTAACTGGTT